ACAACGACAACAAATGGCTAATGATGTTAAGCATCTTTCCATGGGCTTATTGGCTATTTTAATGAGATGGATTGATACAGTGGCTGCAATGATGGGCCTCAGGTATAGCAAGGATTGTGAGGCTGGCACAGAACCGGGCAGTGTTTCGTTCTGTTGTACACAGGGTCACTATGAGTCACAGCCAACTCAACAGCACATAACAACAACAGTCTTCTGCCAGGCTTTTTCCAGGTGCTGGGAATATACCTGTCATCTTGTGTGTTATACCAAATTTAGTTGTTGAGTTTCTCTTATTTACCACTGGGGTGCTGAGTCATTGGGTAAAATATAACTCTTGCATTATATGAAAAGGGGTTAAATATGCTGACCAAGTCACACTTAATCCTTTTTATTTTAGGATTGACTAATGATTATGAGCTCTGGTGGCAAAATGCCTAAGGCATTTGACTACTAACCAGAAGGCTGGCGGTTCAAACCCACTAGCCACTCCTTGGAAGGAAGATTGGGCGATCTACTTCTGTAGAGCTGCCACCTCAGAAACCCAAGGAGGGGGCTGTTGCTTAGCACATTTGAATAATGAGCTAAGTAACAGCCCCACAACTGTTTACATTTTAAGAAGGAGTTTTAGGGCTTACCTAGGCTGTGATTAACCAAAAAAACCAAACTCACTGCATTCGATGGCTCCTTGCTCTGAAGTTATGGAAACAAAATTACCAGCATAAAATTACCCATAAAATTATTGTAAAAATTTTCACAATTTTTCTGCATCTTCTACATCCTTGAAATCTAAGACATTTTGTTGTGAACTGAATTGTGAACTATGTAATATTTGTTGCAGTTTATTACTAGGATCTTTAAGTATAATCTAGAAAGTTGACAATATGACAAAGATGTGTCAGATATATAAAATGGGAGTTCTGGTGGAGTAATACCTAAGGCATATGACTGCTAACCAGAAGGCTGGTGGTTCAAACCCACCAGTCACTGCTCAGAAGGAAGACTAGACAATCTACTTCTGTAGAGATACTGCCTCGGAAACCCAAGGAGTGGTCGCTAAGAGTTGGATCTGACTCAATGGCAGTGAGTTTTAGTGAGAGTTATATAAAATGTATCTATTGTGAAGCCATGCCTGTTGAAATAATTGTCTTTTTCCTCAGGAAAAAGATGCCTGCTTTCTGCAGCATATGTGGACAGCCAGAAATGGGAAGCCAGAGAGAAAGAACAGTGTCACCTTGGTAGGTATCTGTTGGACTACTGTACATGTCATTTTTAGTTACTGACACATTTATATGATAGTATATGCATATAAGGTATACATGAAATGTTTTTTCATGATCCAATCCAGAGAAGCACATCGAGTCTTTACAAGATTAGACAATTATTTCATGTATAACAAAATCATTTTCTCTGCCTTGCAAATTTCTGATATTTCATATTTGCCTTGACTAGTCTAAGTTAGGGAGCTCTGGTAACGTAGTGCCTAAGGTACTTGACTGCTAACCATAAGGCTGGTGGTTCAAACCCACAAGCCACTCCTTGGAAGGAAAGTTGGGCAATCTACTTCCGTAGTGATACTGCCTTGAAAACCCAAGGAGGGGTCGCTATGAGTTGGGTCTGACTGGATGGCACATAACAACAACAACAACAACAACAACAGTCTAAGTTATGTAAACAGTTCTTTGTTTCTTTTCACTCTTACTGTATACAACTGATTCTCATTATTTGCAGCAGTATTTAGTTTATACTATAAAGTCTCTGCAAGTGCTGAATTAGCGAATACTGAACCAATGCTCCCAGTTCTTTGAGCCTCTGGTCACTTTTTTGTCAACAATGAATACGTATCCTTATTTCATGTGTAAAGACATCTCATTTAATATATTATTGGTTCATTAATATCGAGCTCATGCCAACAGCACTATAATTAATGCCTGAATGAAGCTTATTTAACACATATATTTTCCCCATAAGGCATATCACAGTCTTCTTGCACTTAGAAACACTAGACAAAACTTCAGCACCATGCTTGGGGGCCACTTTTTTTTTTTTTTT